CCCCCCCCCCAGACCCCTCTCTTCTCTGCCCCATCGCCCTCGCCCTCGCCCCCTCCTGCACAGCCTCTGCCCCCAACACCCGCTCCCCCACCCTACACGCACCCTCGGCTCCCCACCTCCTGCACCCTCATCCTTGCATTCCCCACCTTAGAGGTCTATAAAGTCATGAGGGGCATGGATAGGGTGAATAGCCAAGGTCTTTTCCCCAGGATAGGGGATTCCAAAACTAGAGGGCATAGGTTTAAGCTGAGAGGGGAAAGATTCAAAAGGGTCCTGAGGGGCAACTTTTTTTACACAGAGGGTGGTGTGTGCATGAAATGAGCTGCCAGAAGTAGTGGTAGAGGCAAGCATAATCACAACACTTAAAAGATGTTTGCACAGGTACATGAATATGAAAGATTTAGAGGAAAATGGGCCAAATGCAGGTGAACGGGACTAATTCAGTTCAATAAATCTGGTTGACATGGACACGTTGGGCCAAATGGTCTGTTTCCCTGCTGTGTGACTATGATGCCTGATGTACTTACCTAGTCTGACCTGCATATCACTCCAGACTGTCAGCAATGTGGTTGATTTTTAACTACTGTCTGAAATGGCTTAGCAAGCTCATCAGTTTGAGAGTAGTTAGGAATGGACAACAACTGCTGGTCTTGCCAGCAGCGCCCACATCCCATGAAAGAATAAGTAAATCTATTTGGATCAATCTGCCACTGCTGACTCCACAAATAACCGGTCCATCCCTTTAATCTCATTCTCTGCCTTCTCTTCAGTACCTTTTTGGAAACTGTTATGGGTTGTCTTTCTGTGCAGCTATGTCTTAACAACTATTATATAAATTTTTTTAAATCTTGTTTTCAATATGGGAAATTTATGTCATTGAATTACTAAGTCACCAATCAGTGGAGATAGTTTCCCCTCACTTCATTTTCAACACCTTGATTAGATTTTCCCTTAACTGCTGTCTTAATGAAAAGAGCTCCATGTTCTCTTATCTCTCCTTACAGCTGCAGCCCCTTGTTCTCGGGGATCCTAATAATTGAAATCAGTTTCTGTAGAACCTTGACTGATTTCTGAAAATGGTATACCCAAAACTGGGTAAATTGCTTTGTATTCTTTAAGGTTACTTAATTCAAATCGTCTGTTAATTCAAATTGTAATAATGCAGAAAAATCTTTTAATAAACTGCTTAATTTGAAATTTTAATCAAATAAATAGCTTTGGTTTAGCCACGAGTGCCTGGTTTGGCATTGAGAGTGCGCTGAACGTTTATTCCTGTGGATTTAGTTCACTCTTGTGCTGTCCGTGGTAAAGATTGAACTTTGTACCAACCTATCTCTACTTGTTTCTAGGTGGATTTGGATACTATCGATGTAAGCAACCTCAACCGGCAGTTTCTATTCCAGAAGAAACATGTTGGAAAGTCAAAAGCTCAGGTAAGAGTCAAGTATCATCAAGAGACTTGATTTGCCTTTCTGTAAATGTGTAGAGCACTTTATGACTATCTGCATTCATGGGTTTATTATATTGTCAAGATAATGATTTTGATCTTTATTTTCTGTTTTTTCTGGAAGGCAGCCTTGGGTTCAAGCTGAGGTGAAAATCTCAATATTTCTCCTCCTCGCAGCTTTCTTTTGAGTTATTTCCCTTCCTTGGGTTGGGAGATTAGGTTGAGGAGATTCTCTGAATTCTTTTGGAATATCTGTCCTTCATCTGTCTCTTTAAGCACCTTCCAGCAAAAAAAAACTTGCCTTTAATTGACACTTTTCAGAGCCTTACTTTTTTAAATTCGTGCTCCCCAACAATGTACTAACAGGACCTCAAACTAAATTGTTTACCTTAGGCCACAGGATTAGAATATGTGGGTGGTTATGGCAAGTTTCAGATGAGGTTTTCAAAGTCATGAATGGTTTGATGAAATAATTGAGAAACTTTTTCCTGCTAGTAAGGTGGGTAAACAGTGAACAGAGAGGCAATCAGAGTTGATTTTCTTAAAGACTAGTTTTGTTTGACTAAGGGGTTTGAGTTCTTAGAAGTGACAGAGAAGATCAGTGAGCTTAGCACATCTGAACTTTCAAAAATGTTTGACAAGTGCCACATCATAGATTAAGAAGGATAGTAGCAGGCAAGTAAGAATAATTGGCTTGGTAAGTGGTAAATAACATACGTGCCACACAGGTGTAAGGCAATGGCCGCCTCCAACGAGGGGATTCCAGCCACCACACCTTGACATTCAATGGCATTGCCAACACTGAATACACCACTATCAACATTCTGGAGGTTACCATTAGCTAGAATCTAAATTGGACCAGCCATATAAATACAGTAGCATTACGAGCAGGCCAGAGTTTGGGAATTATGCGATGAGTAGCTTGCCACTTGACTCCTGAAAGGAAAGCCTGTCCACCAACTACAAGGCACAGGCCAATAGTGTGATAGAATACTCCCCATTTGCCTGGATGAGTGCATCTCCAACAATGCTCAAAATGCTCGGCACCATCCAGGATAAATCAGCTCACTGGTTGGCACCCCATTAATACTTTCAACTTGCACTTCCTCCTCCTCCACTGGTGCACAGCGGCAGCAATGCATTCTGTGGACAAGATGCATCCTGGCTCTTTTGATAGCCCCATCCAAACCTGCAATCTCTACCACCTAGAAAGATAAGGGCAGCAAATATGTGGGTGGAAACATCACCATCTGCAAATTTCCTTCCAAACCACTCACCGTCCTGACTTGGAAATACGTCACTGGGTCAGAATCATGGAATTCCCTCCCTAAGGACGTTGCGGGTCTGCCTACAGCACATGGACTGCAGCGGTTCAAGAAGGCAGCTCAGCACCACCTTCTCAAGGGCACCTAGGCAGGCAATAACTATTGACCAACTAGTGACCTCCACATCCTCTAAACAAATAAAGATCTCATTGCCTCCTGTACTGTAGTGTTCTATGATTTTATACAGATGATGCTGGAGCTGACTACCAATGGGAAAGGTTGAACAGATTTAAGACTTGTATTTTGTTGCAGAGGACGAGTGAAAGAAGTCTTCATTGTCATTCAAAATTGGGAAGTTTTGACAGGGAGGATATACGTTGGCAGAATATTTACACTTATGGAAAAGTTCAAAACTGTGGACCGTAACTAAGAATAAGTAGAGAAATAAGGAAGTTTTTTTTTAGCCCGTGAGGTAAGAATTTGAAACCTTTACCACAGCCACGGTTTCCAACAGCCTTGCAATGAAAGGAAACTCAAATACGTAAGAAGGAAGCAGAAAGATATGCTGAAAGGCTCAAATGAAGCAAGTAAAGTGGGAGGAGACACATAAGGCATACAAACGTTTGTGTTGTGTATTCTACGCAGCATCTGTACAGATCTGTTACTCGGATAAATCTGGATTGTATTCTCTTTGAACTTCTGTCTGATTGGTTTGCAGGTGGCCAAAGAAAGTGCCTTAAAGTTCTGCCCTGAGGCCAGGATTACAGCTCATCATGACAGCATCATGAAGTGAGTTTTATCTTTTATTGGGCCTTGTTGTGCATCACAGAACTTGTCTGCAGAACCATGTGCTTCTAAAGTGGTGGTTGAGAAGCACTTTAGCATTACCCTGAGAAATGGCAGGCCAGCGGTAAATCTGAAGAGTGTCAATATGTTTTCAGCTCTGGTTGTCCAAAGCTCCTCTTCTAAGCAGGCAGTAGCTGTTCCTGACAACTCACTTTTAAAGAAAAACTACATTTTTCTCAACCTTAAGGGCATGTCAGAGTATCTTTTATTTAATCCTGTTGATCTCAACATATGCTTCACCTGGGGTCATAGCATGCTGGTAATTGTGTTGTCGGCCACTGCTTTAAAAATCCTGTGCAGTAGATCGAATATGTAATGATACAACGGATTGACTTGCTCAAGGCCATTTCTAAAGGGGTTTACTGGTTACTATGTTGATGCAGGGTTGAAGTTGCATCTGGGTCCAAACCAGAAAAGGATAGCACAATTCCTTATGGTTGAACAAACTGGGATTTTAACAACAATCTGACAGTTTTTTGATCACCTTAACTGATTTTTTTTTTTTTTAAATTCCAAATCCTGAAACTCCTCAACTAACAGGACTGTAGAGCATCCTCATCCAGTAGACTACAGTGGTTCAAGACACGAGCACACCACTTCCTCAAGAGTGACTTGGGATGAGCAGTAATGTCAACATTGTTAACGACACTCTCAAACCTGAGCCTGAGTAAAAGTTGGCTTGAAAAATTGAATGAGACAGATATAAATCTGTGATCCAACAAAAAGTCTTTTTATTTCCTTAACCAAGATTGCAAATATATACAATGCACAGATCTGCCAGCAAAGGCTGTAACATTTGCGATCTTCAGTTCATTCAATTAAGCAATGAAAGCAGACACAATGTTTTTAAAAAAGAAAGTTGAGAAGCAATTCTCAGCTCAAGTTTCAGTTGTGGTAGTAAGATCTGGATGTAGTCCTGTCAACCTCAGCTTTGTTAGATCAAATAGCCTTATGCAATTCTTGACTGCTGGAGCATGAAGGTATGATTTTGGTTTGTTACTTGCCTAACTGATCAATGAGTTACCTTCTTGATGGTTCAGTTGGCGTACATATTGTCAGTGTGGAAGGGAACCTTTTCGTAGAGGTAGCAGCAGCTCATGCCTGGCAATGCTTGGCATCCTGTGCACAGTTTTTTACCTGTCCCACTTAGCATGCTGCCAATGTCCGATTGTCCCATTAAACTTGCTAATCTATTGGGATGATGAACAAGGCAGTGGAAATTGTGTAGAATTAGAGAGTGATATTTTGAAAGAGCTGTACTTTTTTTTCTTGTTTGTGGTAAACTATTTGAGTACTTTCACTTTTGTTTCCCACAGCCCAGGTTATAATGTGGAATTCTTCAGGCAGTTTACACTTGTGATGAATGCTCTGGATAATAGGGGTAAGGATTTCTGGCATTTAGGGCTCTACTGGTTTTAAGCAAGAGTAATGGATGATTGATAAATGCAAGAGCAAGTAATTACTGCATGCTGTTTTGGCCAGAAAGAGGTGTTTGCTTTCTTGGATCTAGTACCACACACAATAAAATTACAATCTCTAGCAACAGGCCCAACCTCCAGGAACTGGTTTACTATTCGGTTAGATCATGACAGATCTGTACCTGAATCTCATTTGCCCACTTTTAATTTGCATTTCTTGATAACATTATCTAATAAAAAGTTCATTCATCTTCATCATGGGCATTTTTATTGATCCTCAGTTTAGCAGTGCCACCTGTAAGACGATCTTTCCTGCTCTAATTTTAAGATTGTGCCCCCTTGTTCTTGATTCCTCCTCCATTGTTTCCCTGTATATCTACCTTATCAGATGGTACGATCAAACAGCACAGAAGGTTTTTGACACATTATGCTTGAGTCCATTCTTTGAAAATTACTGAGAAAAGTGATATGTTGCTGAAGCTTTTCATTTTGCACTCATCATGAAAAGCAGGCAGAGTTTCCAAAAACTCAACAAAAAAGCAGAGAGGTGTGATTTTTGTGATTAGTAGCAGTTTCCAAACAATCCTATGTGTTAATAGTTACACTAAAAATCAGTGAGATAATCAGTTGAGTGAATTCCATAATCAGCTGTGGCTTACTTGTGCTCACTAGAAGTGACATACATTCATCTGTAGGGGTCTGTTCTCTGACAACACACCAAATCTGTTAAGGGCTTATGCCTTTATTAAATTAACCAGCGGCTTGGGGAGCCTCTATTTCCCAGTTGTTTCCTCCACAACAATGCTTCAGCCAGTCAAAGTTGACTTGTCAGCTAACCAGTTCCCTGTTCTCCTTTGTATAAATTGTTGGTATTCTTGCATTTGTCCTAGTGAGTGCAAGGCAAAAACCTTCAGCAGTATTCAAGTTCTGCATGACCAGTTCTTTGAAAGTATGATTCAATTAATCCTGCTGCTCCACAATTTAATAGCAATACATAGAAACAGGAGTAAAGCACTCCCCTTCTTTAGCCTGTTTTGACATTCATTAAATCATGCCTGATCTTCAAAAAGTCCACTTTCCTGTCTGATTCCGATATTCCTTGATTCCCTCAAAGCCAAAAGTCTATTAATGTCAGTCTTGGATATGCTCAATGACCAAGCATACATGGCTCTCCAGGATGGAGAATTCAAAGTACCACAAATCTGAGCAACCCCCTCCCCTCCCCAAACTTAAATGTTGATCCCTTGCCCTGAGATTATGACCCCCTCCTCTAGATTCTCCAACCCAGTAACTGTGCATCCCAGATCCTACGCAATTATTATATTTTAAATGCCTCAGATTTCCCCATCTCTGCCCCATTCTAACACAATGGACTACAAGCCAAGCTTATGCAAACCCTCTTTGTGAGAAAGGAAGATGTCACTTGCCTTCTCCTTATTCCAGTGCTGGCCCTGACCCTGGGTGACACTAAATGAGCAAGAACCAGGATCGGACCTGGGGCCTGCCAGATCTTCATGACTCAGTTAAGTCAATGTCTTAACCAGTAGACCATTGGAAAAGCAACTTTAATGGTCGCCAGGATTAGAAAATGCCAGCACCAAGAGGTTGTTCAGAATGGGCGCATTGTTAAAGTAGCAAGTGGTGAAGTCTATGCTGCAGTGTTCTGTTGTGCTTTCAGCAAGTGGAACAATTTTTCACTGAGTCAATCTTCCCATGTGTGATTGGTCTGCAAGATCAACAGCTGAATTTTAGCAAGCACCAATACTTTTCAAAACTCATTAAAGGAGCAGCTAACTAGGGGGAGATCAAAATGTGTAAATCTGTATTGGACAGTAATCTCCTCCTTTGGTATGGACATAACTGTCCCTCTACTGCATCAGAACCACATTTTGTGGAACAGTTCAGTATTCTTTCTCCTCTAATTCAAGATAGTTAATCTCTCCCAGTCTATTCCTGGTGTATGCTTTCAGAATAATGAAATACTTGATACATCTTGAATGGATATATCTTGTTTAGATTATGTGCACATTCAGTTGCTTTGTTGTACATGTGCTTTGTGATCAAATCAGAGTTTACAAATCTGATCTTGCTTCTGTTCAATCTGTTTTTGCCAGCTGCACGTAACCACGTGAATAGAATGTGTTTAGCTGCTGACATTCCTCTTATAGAGAGCGGATCTGCAGGATACCTCGGTCAAGTCACTGTTATCAAAAAGGTACTGAAAATATTTATTCTCCAGTTGCTGGTTCTTTTAATAAGAACAACCTAACATTCTCTCCCAAATTTTGAACTTGCCAGGAGGTGCTGAGTCTCACTTGGGTGCAACTGCCATGGATCCTGGCTGCTCGTATTGTCATGTTCTGAGTCAGCGTTGTTCTTGTAATTGTTGAGTTTGAAACTCTCCTTTACTTGTAATTGTATGCATTAGCAGCTTTCAAACAGATGTTTCTGGATAGTGCAGGATCCTCACCATGAGGTTTTATTCATAATCTCATTGTCCCAAGTCCATAGGCCATTTCTTGTTCCCTATTATTCCATGTTTAACATAAGCTGACTCAAATCTGAAAAAGCATAAAATGTCTGAACCTAAAAACTTTCCAATTAACAGCTAGTCTCTTAATTAATGCAACCCTCTCCAAGGATCATAAAAGATCTCCTGTCATGAGTGCTGACACCTCTTCACATGCTGATTCCTTTTGCAAATAACACTGGAGGCACTTTCAGTGAGAGTTTGGCACCTGTCCTGATGCTGCTGATAGTAACATTGTCTTTTTGCAGGGAGTAACAGAATGCTACGAGTGCCAGCCCAAACCAACACAGAAAACCTTTCCAGGTTGCACAATCCGAAACACTCCTTCAGAGCCAATCCACTGTATCGTATGGGCGAAGTACCTTTTCAAGTAAGGAGCCTCAAACATTAACTCTTACTCTCTCTCCAAAGATTCTGTATGGTGTATGGGTATTTCTGGCATTTCCTGTTGTTTCAGAGAAATGTGTGTCGGTCTATGTGTTCGTGAATGCGTGTGTGCATGCAGATGTGTCTAATCGGGTTTCCTCCTGTGCCATGGTAACAACTTGATACTTATCAAAGTCACAAATCATATCCGTGAGAGTGTGACAAAGTTAACTTCTCTTCTCTCCTCACGCTTCTTGAACTGCCTGCAGCCATTGACACGCTTGACCACACCAACCTTGTCCAACCCCTCTCCTCCATCATGTGTATTCCTGCCCACCTACAGTACTCAAGGTGTGGCCTTACCAAGGCCCAAAAAACTGGCAAGTGAGCAGAGATGATGTTGCCAGGTCTGGTAGGCCTGAATTATAGGGAGCGGTTGGACAGAATAGGACTTTATTCCTTAGAACGTAGGAGAATGAGGTGTGACTCTATTGAGGTGTATACAGTCATGAGGGGCATAAATAGGATGAATGCATATAGTCATTTTTTCCCAGGGATGGGAAATTGAAAACTAGAGGACATAGGTTTAAGGTGTGAGGGGAAAGATTTAAGAAGGACCTGAGGGGCAACTTCACGCAGAGAGTGGTGTGTGTATGGAATAGGCTGCCAGAGAGCGTGGTTGAGGCAGGTACAATAGCAACATCTAAAAAAATTTGGATAGGTACATGGATGGGAAGGGTTTAGGGGGATGTGGACCAAATGCGGGCAATTGGAACTAGCTGAGAGGGCACCGTGGTCAGCATGGACCAGTTTAGGCCGAAGGGCCTGTTTCCATGCTGTATTTCTCTATGACACTATGATTCTGTCACCTGGTTCCATTCTTATTAACTGAACTATTACCAGAGAATGTAAGAACTGCCGATGCTGGAGTCAGAGGTAAGTGTGGAGCTGGAGAAACGCAGCAAGCCAGGCAGCATCAGTGGAACAGGAAAGTTGACGTTTCGGGTCGGGACCCTTCTTTAGAAATGGGGGATGGAGAAGGGAGTTCAGAAATAGAGAAAGAAGGGATGGGGCTGGGGAAGGTAGGTGGGATAGTGATAGTTGAGTGCAGGTAGGCAGTGGTGGGGATTGGTCAGTGAGATGGGAGGGGCAGATAGGTGGAGAAGATGGACAGGTTATGTCAAGTCAAGGAGGCGGGGATGAGAGCGAGAGTTGGTAATGGGATGAGGCCAAGGGTGTGTGTTCGCGACAAACAACAACACCTTCCAGTCGCGAATCATTTCAACTCCCTCTCCCACTCCCTGGGTGACATGTCCATCCTGAGCCGCCTCCAGTGTCACAATGATGCCACCCGGAAACGGAGGAGCAGAACCTCATATTCTGCCTCGGGAGCCCATAACCCAGTGGTCTTGATGTGAATTTCACCAGTTTCCCCGGCCTCATCCCGTGACCAGCCTTCCTCTCACCCCCGCCTCCTTGACCTGACGCAATCTGTCCGTCTTCTCTCCCACCTATCCACTCCTCCCACCTCACTGACCAATCCCCATTGCTTCCTACCTGCACTCACCTGTCACCAACCCACCTACCTTCCCCAGCTGTCTGTCTTTATTTCTGAAGTCCCTTCCTCATCCCCCATTTCTGAAGAAGGGTCCCCAACCCGAAATGTCAACTTTCCTGCTCCTCTGCTGCCTGGCCTGTTGTGTTCCTCCAGCTCCACACCCTGTTATATCTTTTACCAGAGAATCTTCTGTAGTGCCTTCAATTCCCACTCCCTCACTGTTTCTGGTGTTTCCCCAAGTATCTATCCTTCACCTCTTGTATTTCTCATCTATATGCATCCCCTCAGTAACATGATCAGAAAACACATTTTTCGCATGTATGCTATCAACAGCCAGCTCCAGGATAGTGCATGGCATGGAGGAGCTTGCAGATGCTGTCGTTGTCATTCTATATGGTAGATGTCACAGGCCTCAGAGGTGCTGTTGGAGGAACCTTGGTAAATTGCTGCAACGCATCTTGTAATTTCCAAATGTGGGGTCCAGGATCTCAAGTGGGGTCATGAGCTGATATTGTGGAGTTGATCTCAAAGGTATCAACTGGTTGCCATGCAGCTATGACACTCCCCTACCCACCCAAGCCCCTCCTGTTCATTTCAGTGGGGCCTTGAGAGATTTTGAGTCACTGGATCTTTCTGATAGGGAAGGGACTTGACTGGGATTATTTGGTCCATTAAGCATACATTCCTTTGATTACTTCCCTCCCCCTCTCACCATGCTTTCTCCTCTTGCCCAAGCTCCTTGTTTTTTTCTTGTAGCTTTCAGTTTACATTTAAATGTTCTGCTTGGTAATCTTTAATGGGAGATGATTTGCCCATTGGTGTTGTGCACAGCAGGGGCACATATTACTCTATATGAATGTATCTGTCACAACCAATAACATCCAGAGTGTTTGTGGTTTGTTCTGTCTGCAGCCAGTTGTTTGGAGAGGAAGATGCTGACCAGGAAGTATCACCTGATACTGCTGACCCAGAGGCTGCCTGTAAGTACAAGAGTGACCCTGGGACAAGTTCACCTGAATTTAATCCTAATTAAATGAGTGTAAAGGGATGTTGTACAATGGTCGAGTGAGCCTGATTCCATTACAAAGATGGAATGTAGTTCCGACCTTTAGTTGGAATGTAATTCCAGCAAGGAACTAATTCCTGTGCGTAACTGGTAAACATCAGTCACAGGCAATCACATTGACTTATTTTACTTTCCAAAGTTACTTTAAAGGAACATGTGCATCTTGCAATTTCTCTCCTTGCTCGAAAAGCTGATTAGGTTGAGGCTGTCATTTTCCTGAAGAGATACGGCTGATGGGTAACCTAGTATAATCTTGTAAAAACAGGTTCAGTGAGTTAGGAGTAGATGTTTCAACTTGAGTGAGTCCAGAATTAAGTTTCAAATATAAATGTTTATTCGTAAATCTCATAAGGAATTCAGAAGAAACGTCTTCACCAACAGAGTGATGAGAATGTCGAACTTGATTGAGGTGACCATTATAACTGTTTGCAAGGAGAAACAAGATAAAAGCAATGAGGAGTGAGAAATAAGATAGATATTTAGAGCAAGATAAAGTAGGGTGGGAGGTGGCTTGCATGGAGCCTAAACATCTAATTGGCCCGTGAATTCTGAATTCTGTGTCTCCTGAGTTTGTTTCTAAATTCTTCTGGTTTATTTTTATTTGCAACTGGATCAGTCGGTACATTATTTAATCAAAAATTTAGATTTCTGCTGTTCAGACAGTCCCACTTTGATTTTCTTATTGAGACACATATACTGTTCCACAGACTCCTAATATATTACCTAGTGATTGTTGGCTGATCCTCCATCAGAGCCGTTCCAGCTGAAGGAGAACCTGTCCTTGTGCATAGCTGTCACTGTTCATTCAGGCACCCATGGAACTTCCAGTGGGGTCACCAGATGGAGATCAAGCACAGGAGCCTTGACTGCTTTTTTTATCACCACAACCCATTCTTTCCCATCCGCTACATATCCCCAGCTTATAGTATGGTTGTCGCACATCAGCCACTAGTATCAAATAGGCCATGAGAGTCTGGGATGAGAACCTGTCGTCTTAAGGTCTCAGACACACTGGGTGGGTGACCTGAGCCATTGCAATTCTGTCTGTATACGCTCTTGTCCTATTATTTGTTGCTGAACTGAGATTCTGGGTAATTTGTTGTAATTCAGAGGAACTGTCATGTTGAAGTCTTGTTCAGTTCACTGTCTCTACAGTAGACTGCTTTAGGTATGAAATTATGCCAACAGTTTAACTATAGTGACCTGCCAAAATGTGAAGTATTAAAATGCCCGTTGTTTTGAAACATGACAGTAGTGATGAGAGACTTCAATTAAGTGCTGAGACTGAAGAAGTCAGATTTGTTACTCCATCCAGCAGGAAAAGTTAATTATAAGCTGGTTTTTAACAAAGAGATTAATAATGGTTTGGAATGCAGTGCCTGAAAGAATAAGACAAGCAGATTCAATGATAATAGGAGGAGAGGGACTCATTGAACTCTTTGAAAGAGGCAACATAGGCACAATGGGCAAAATTAGAATCTTCTGACTGAGTCTCTGGACATTCCCTTTGGTGTTCAGCCACTGAGCAGTCTGTTTTGCATCAAGACCTGAGACTGTATTATTATTCAGCATTTGGGATAGGCTCCATTTTTGTATAGATTGAGTGCAATAGGTTATATTTGATGTTTAGAAGAATGCTTCATTGAAGCACTCAATCCTCTTATAGTTTGATAGAGTAGATGCTGGAGAATTTAGATCTAGGGGTCTCAAACTAATTGGTAAGTCAGTTGAGATCAAGATAAGAAATTTTCATTGAAGTTTGTGAATGTTTGAAATCTTCTACTCCAGAGGGTTGTGGATGCTCAATGGAATCATAGAATCCCTACAGTGCAGAAAGAGGTATTCAGCTCATAGTCTGACTCTCTGAAGAGCATCCCACCCAGTCCCCGTAACCCTGCGTTTACTGTGGCTAACCCATCTCGCCTGCACATCCTTGGACACTGCATGGTAACTTTTTAGCATGGCCGATCCACCTAACCTGCACATCTTTGGACTGAGTGTGGAAACCGGAGCACCCAGAGAAAACCCACACAGACACGGATAACATGAAAACCACACAGACAGACACCCAAGGCTAGAATTGAATCCGGGTTCCTGGCGCTGTGAGGCAACATCCAAACCTTTGAACAACTATGCTGCCCCTTCATTGGTGTATTCAAACCTGAGATCGATAGATCTTGAGAAGCTCATGGAATCAAGGAGTGGTGGGATTGGATGGAAATGAAATTGAACTAGATGTTCAGACATGGTCTTCTCAAATGAGGTTTTGTATAAAATCGTCATAGTCCTACCACATGATAGGACTGCTCTGTCATTAGAGATGACTAGTGGTGGTTTAACCTGAGGGTCATCGTGCCTCGGGTGAGTAGAGGTTGAGAAGGAGAGTCCTTCATAGTAAGCAAGTCGCCACGCTGTTTCAAGTAAGAGGGGTTGCCATGGGTACCCGCATGGGCCCTAGTTATGCCTGTCTCTTCGTGGGGTACGTGGAACATTCCTTGTTCCAGTCCTATTCTGGCCCCCACCCACAACTCTTTCTCCGATACATCGATGATATCATCGGAGCTGCTTCCCTCTCTTGTCCGGAATTGGAAAACTTCATCAATTTTGCCTTCGAGTTCCACCCTGCCCTCACTTTCATCTGGTCTATCTCTGACTCCTTCCTTCCCTTCCTTGACATTTTTGTTTCTGGGGATAGACTGGCCACTAATATCCACTACAAAGCCAGTGACTCCCACAGCTATCTGGACTATCCATCCTCCCACCCCACTTTCTGTAAAGTCTCCATCCCTTTCTCTCAGTTCCCCCATCTCCGTCGTATATCTTCAGATGAGGCCAACTTCAACAAGAGAGCCTCCGAAATGTCCATCTACTTCCTCAACTGAGGATTCCCCAGCTCCATGGTTAGCAGGGCCCTCAACTTGACCCATCTCCCGCACTTCTGCTTTCACCCCTTCCCTTCCCTCCTACAACAGCGATAGGGTTCCCCTTGTCTTTACCTATCATCCCAGCAGCATCCATATCCAGAAGATCATCAGGTGCCATTTCTGCCATCTCCAGCAAGATGCCACCGCCAGACACACATTCACTTCCCCTCCCTTGTCCGCCTTCCACCGGGACCATTCCCTCTGGGACACCCTGGTCCACACATCCTTCACCCCCCATATCAAAAGGTCCAAACATACCTTCCAAGTGAAGCAACACCTCACCTGCACTTCCCGGAATCTACTCTACTGTATTCGTTGCTCATAATGTGGTCTCTTGTACGTTGGGGAAACAAAGCATAGACTAAGTGACAGATTCGCAGAACGTTACGTTCTGCTCGGAAAAAAGACCCTGAACTACCTGTTGCCTGCCAGTTTAACGCACCACCCTGTTCCCTGGCCAACATCTCTGTCTCTGACTTGCTGCAGTGTTCTAGCAAACATGAACGCAAGCTGGAAGAACAACACCTCGTTTTCCGCTTGGGGACCCTACAGCCCTCCGGACTCCATATTAAGTTCAATAAATTTAGAGCCTAAACTCTCCCATGTCCCAGCCCCCTCCCCCACACACCAGGCCTTGTTACCACGCAGGCTGCTATCACACACCACCTCTTGTTAGTCACTAATAGTCCCCATTAACAACTGTTCACCCTCCCAGCCTGATCGTTATCAACTCTTTCTGTCCAACTGCTCTTCTGTCTCTTTGGGCTTTATCCTATCATTTACTCCCTACCCCATCCCCCTTCCCCTTTTTTCTGCATATAAACTGACGTTTTCCCAGCCACCACCAGTTCTGAGGAAGGGTCACCGGACGCAAAACGTTAACTCTGTTTTTTCCTTCACAGATGCTGCCAGACCTGCTGAGCTTTTCCAGCAACTTTGTTTTTGTTCTGCGCTGTTGATTTTGCTCTGTATTGGAAAAGCAGCTGTCCAGCTAACTGAACCTCTGCTTTTGTATAGGATTGCAGACACAAAGTGGTCCAGAAATGTGAACCCAAATCCCATAACAGCAATTAGAAAATGTTAACTTATTTAATTAAAGTAAATCTTTTTGTTGAAGCTTTTAATCTCGCACTCATCAGAATAAATAACAAGAATACCAATGTTAAGAGAAAACACCACATATACTGTGAGGAGAGTGCTGATTAGCTGCCAAGTGGTTTTTGATTGATTGGTAGAGGTGTTGCCACGGAGAATGTACCAATTAGATGACTACCAGTTAACTGTCAAGTTTTGTTTAAATTTAAACCAGGCAGGTTGACTCTGCAGTGTTTGGAACCAGGTGGACCTTGTTCACTACAAGGTCCTTGATTGGGGTTGTTAACCCGGGCCAATCAGGAGGCACTGGCTGACTGAACAGGAGATCTAGAATCCCCTCAGTTGAGGACTGACTCTGAGCTGGCTGGCTACAGCCAGTGTACTGTGCACAAGTAAATAAAGGGTGACTTAGTGACGGGATGTCAGAACGTGCGCAGTGATGTCACTCTGGACAAGACATCGACTAGATGATGGCAGTCATCTATATTGTTTAATTTCAGTCAGGTGCAGTTAGTATGAAGTTATTTCAGTCTGGACAGACAGACTTGTAGGTTAATATATGTAGCTTCCAATTCACCCAAGTGCCACACTGTAAGTCCAAAAAGTGATTCTAAATTGGTTGCCAGTGTGATCCTCCGCACACTCTATTATTTTAAATAATAAATGCCAGACAGAACTCCAACGCAATGTTTTTGTTTCCAGCAATGCTAAAATAAATCTGGAAATAAAAGCTAATATTAGTAATAGTAATCATGAAACTACTGAATTGTGGTGTAAACCCATCTTGTTTGTTAATGTCCTTTAAGGAAGGAAATCCATCATTTTTGTCTGTCTGACCTATACATGACTCCAGACCCAAAGCAATGTGTTTGAATCGTAATTGCCCTCTGAAATAGCCTAAAAGCTATTCATTTATATGTATTTGCTCACTGCCACCTTCTCGGCTATTGGGCTGAGCAAGAAATGCTGGCTTTGCCAGTGATACCTGTGAATGGATTTTAATAAAAGATGGTTTGGAAGAGGCTTGAGGGCCCAAATTAGTTTACTCCTTCTATTTGCTCATGATCTTGTATGTCTTAAGTATATTTCCAAATTGCTTGTTGGTAGGGGAACTGTCGGATGCAGCAGCAAGGGCAGGAGCTTCCAATGAGGACGGTGGCATCAAACGTGTATCTACAAAGGACTGGGCCAGATCCACTGGGTACGACCCAGTAAAAATATTCAACAAGGTACAGGCGCAAGTCTTTTTCAGCCCATTGTTAGTCAGTGAACAGTCGATGCAGCTGTAGAGGATGTAATGCATTTTAATGTTGATGGTAACTGATGGGTTTGAGAGAGTAGAGTTTGTAACTCAGAACCTTTGAATGTCATTCTAAATATTTAGCTTTGAATATAATTCTAAATATTTAGCAATGTGGGAAATACTAACTGTTGCAAAGCCATGTTTGGCTATTACCATCCAATTAATTTTTTCATTGAAACCCCAGAGATATCTCCCCTGCTCAGAATCCTATGCCACTGTTTTATTTAACATGTATCATGATCCTGTCTGAGCCACGATGCTAGTGATCTAAAAAGGGTCTTCAAAATGAGAAGGAACTTTGATTCTGTAAATTCGGGAGCTGATTCCATCTGTCAATGCATCTGTAACTACAGCATGTAAATTTCCAATAATCCGAAGGATTGGAATTGTTGGATGGAGAAATGTTGCAATCCACCGAGTTCACCTTTCTCATTCTAGTCAGTTGCATGATATAGCAGGTAATGGAATTGTTGACTAATCATAGCAATCACTGTCTAGCAATACTCCATTGAGAATTGTAAACATTTTCCATGGGGCCTGCAGAATAATGTGAAGATGAGAGTAGGGAGTGACTGTGGTCACCAGCTGTTCAGTGCACTGGGCTGATGGTATCATTGTGACTGCCAGATGATCAGTACGGTGTAAGTTTCATCTGAAGGTGGGGTTGGGCAGGACAGTGTGAATGGAGGAGTGCTGAAAGCTGCAGAAATGTAAACACTTTTCCTTAAAGAATCGTTGGAACCATGCCTTCAAATGGCAATTGTTAAACATTATTGAGATTATAATTTAGATGCAAAGTATCCATGGTTATTAATTTATTTGAAAAAGATTTATTCAAGTAAAAATGTTTGAGAAACACTGAATTTGCCATCAATTGCAGGAAATCTGCCACATGACTCCACATGCTCTACAAAATTAACTACCCTCGAAAAAGACTGAGCATATCAAGTCTAATCAGGGACAGTTAGGGCTGGGTAACAAATTTGGTCTTGCCAGGAACGCCCACCTACCCGGAAAAAAAGATTGTGATCTGTTAGGTTACAGCACCCCTTGATGGGGAGCGTAAGAATCAGCCTGCTCCCAATCTCTGCACGTATATGAACATCGCAAAGACACACAATTTGTATAGAATCATAGACAACACACAGCTATGTGGGTACAGTAAAGAAAGAGTTACATTTGGTAATGCCTTTCACGCATTTGGATATTCCAAATCACTTTACAATGTGTAGTCGCTCTTGTAAATTAGAAAACCTGGCAGCTACTTTGTATATAGCAAGGTTAACCTGTTTTGGTTTTCATTAATAAATGTTAGCCAGGAGAGAACTCCCTGATGTGTTTGAATATTGGCATTGGTCTTTTTTATATCCACCTGAGAGGACAAAGAGATTCTCTATCTGCTTAACATCACATTTTAAAGACAGCGACTCTGGTTGGTAGCAGTCTCTCAACACTAGAGGTAGAGGGGTTGACCTGAAGTTTACATGTTTAAGACACTGGACTCTCAAGTTTTGTGACTCAGGTGAGTGCTGCCCACTGAATTGAGCCAGCACAAACAGAGATCAGATGCAGTGTCGCACTGCTCCTAAAATTGAGATCAGTGAACTCAGCAGTGACCTAGGGTTGATCTTGAACTACTAACAGTCCGTGTGACTCAGTATCACACTAGCAGTAAGCCATCAACAAAATGGAACGTTACTGTTGAAAGTTAACAACAACAGGCAGTAGTTCCTTTGATCTGTCAATACTTTGAAATCTTGAAAATTTTTACACTGTTTTCTTAGCTTTTCAGGGATGATATAAAGTACTTGCTCACAATGGACCAACTGTGGCGCAGGCGGAAAGCACCAGTACCATTAGACTGGGCTGAAATTGAAAAATTTGGTAAGGCTACAATTGGATCAAGGTTTGATTTTAACTGTGCTTTCCTCTCTTCACTTCTTCATATCTTGAAAGCATTGATTCCTGCCAAGTGCTCTGCCATACCTTTCCTCATGTGACAGCCTTGGCAGTAAGTGCAGTTCCACCATGAAGCACAGAAAAGCTGAGAGAATTTTTACATGTGCACATCTCTAGGAGGTTCATTTGAAAGTTTACAGCACAGAAGGAGACCTTTTGATCCATTGTGACAGGTGGCCCAAATCAAGAGCTATCCTACCTTTCTGCTGTTTTAGCTCTTGGTGCATATTGCTGTTATGTTACCTCAAGTGCTTTTCCAAATCGTTTTTGAATGAGATGAAAGTTTCTGCCTCACCACTCTCTTCAGGCCGAGTTCTGAGAAAAATATTCTCCTCAACTTCCCTCTCATTTCCCTGTGTTCTGGTTATTGACCTCACTGCACAGGAAATTCAGGCCATCCTACGCATACTGTCTCGGCAGCTCATAATTTTATATGCTCAATTTGATCTCCCGTCAACCACATCTATTCCAAAGATGGTGATCTCAGCCAATCTAACCTGCCCTTATCACTAAAATTTGCCACTGTCGTAAATCTGTACGCCCTGTATAATCTGATTGTAACCTTCCTGTAATGTGATCAGAACTGTACACAGTATTCCATCTGTGGCCTAACTAGAATTTTACACGAGTCTAGCATGACCACCTTGATCTATACCAGGGTTGTGCAACTTTTCTGCATAGGGCCACATTTTAATTTCACTATCAGTCAGAATGTCAGTGAACACATTTCAGAACGATGAGGTTTGCTACTAGAGAAATTGTGAATTTCAGAGGTGATAAGTGCAAAGCTGCAAATGAATCATTTGTGTAAGTAGTTAATTAAAATGACTATTTAAAAATGCCATTCTATAAGGCTCATTAAAACACTTTATTTTCCTTCTCAGTCATGAAGCTGATCTAGAGACAGACAGACTAGACGCAAAGTCTTGATTATGGGGGGGTGGGGAGGGGTTGGGAATTCTGACTGAACTGTAGGATTGGATTTAATTCATACTAACCTTGGTTAGCCTCTGAAGGGGCACACTTGAGCTGTCTTCAGCGGAAGTCACATGAAAGTGCAGCTGGAAGTGGGTTGCCTTTCAGGCTGGGATTTCCTCCTCTTCCAGCCTCTCTTGTTGATAGGATTTCGTGACGGTTTGTGGGGACAGCTATTGAGTTTGAGGTACTTGTCTCTGGGCAGCTCCATTGAGCCCTCCAGCCAATCACTCACCAACCAAGTCCCCTTCAAAGGCAGCACCTAGAGATAACCAAGCTTTTTTTTTTAAAATGTCATTGGGGTTCTGTGTTTTAGCAGAGTAACAACAAGCTACATAAAATCAGAAAATCTTAGGGCTGTGTAGGCTGTGCAGACAATGGTGGGCTCCGTGCTACAGCAGGATATGGAAGCTGTGAGAATGTTTGTTTGGATATTGCTTAGCATGAGCAAATACAGTTGTGAAGGAAACTGGAAACATCAGCTTTTTTGTGAAAACAGTTATTGGAAGAGTATGACATCAAGGATTTAAAATTAGGTAAGAATGGACAGCAAGGATAGCAGATTGTTTCCAGTTGGAACAAATCTCAAGTTAGCTGTGGCAAATACCCTGAAAGCTGATGTTTCCCGTTTCCTTCATAACTATTTGCTCATGCTAGGCAATGTCCAAACAAATACAATATGTATTCAATATTGTTCACATTTCATCCAGTATGCTCCAGATATCACTGGTGTCATGGGACTGTCTTTTAAATGCTGTTTAGTATCTTGATTAAAGATACATGGCAGAGTAATATATTCTTCAGAAAGTTACAGTCATTCTCAAAGTATATAATTACAGAGATAGTCATAAGGATGTACAACTTGGAAACAGACCCTGTGGGGTTCAAATCATCCATGCCAACCAGATATCCTAAATTAATCTTGTCCCTTCTGCCGATATTTGGCCCATATCCCTCTAAACCCTTCCTATTTGTATAACCATCCAGATGCCTTATCAATGTTGTAATTATACCAGCCTCCTCCACTTCCTCTGGCAGCTCAATCCGTACAGGCACAACCCTCTGCGTGACAAAGTTGCCCCTTAGGTTCCTTTTAAATCTTTTCCCTTTCACCTTAAACCTATACCCTTGTTAACTAAAAGCAAAATACTGAGAATGCTGGAAATCTGAAAGAGGAATTGGAGAAATAGTTGGATATGTTTGATCAACCAAGTTGATGAAGTCAAATTATATAGGTTCAGAGACTGCAGAAAGAAAAATCAAATGGTTAGTTTTATTAATATAAACAAAATCCTTGCCAGAAGGATTGCCACAGAGTCTGCTAACTACTAACCAATCCAAGTGAGTCCTTGGTACAGAATACCAGAGAATTACCGAAAGGAAGCCTACTTAGAAACCTATGGCGAATTCAGCACGTTGTCATTATCTGCACTGGAATGCAGATATCACTTATGCCATGATATTGGTTTTACTTTGTCCTAAGCATTAAATCTTAACAGAACGATGACAGCGGAAACCTCATTGTATTAGTGTGACTATCTCTAATTAGAACAAAGAAAATTACAGCACAGGAGCAGGCCCTTCGGCCCTCTAAGCCTGCACCAGCATGCTGCCCATCACAACTAAAACCCTCTACCCTTCCGGGGACCGTATCCCTGTATTCCCATCCTATTCATGTATTTGTCAAGACTCCCTTTAAAAGTCTCTATAGTATGTGCTTCCACTACCTCTCACGGCAGCGAGTTCCATACGCCCACCACCCTCTCTGTAAAAACATGTGTTGTACATCACCTTTAAGCCTTGCCCCTCGCACCTTAAATCTGTGCCCCCTAGTAATTGACTCTTCCACCCTGGGAAAAACTTCTGACTGTCCGCTCTGTCCATGCCCTTCATAATCTTGTAAACCTCTATCAGGTTGCCCATCGACCTCCGTCGTTCCAGTGAGAACAATCCAAGTTTCTCCAACCTCTCCTCATAGCTAATTCCCTCCATACCAGGCAACATCCTGGTAAATCTTTTTTGTACCCTCTCCAAAGCCACCACATCCTTCTGGTAGTGTGGCGACCAGAATTGAACACAATATTCCAAATGCAGCCTAACTAAGGTTCTATAAAGCTGCAGTGTTACCTGCCAATTTTTAAACTCGGTGCCCCGGCCGATGAAGGCAAGCATGCCATATGCCTTGTTGATTACTTTCGCCACCTGCTTTGCCATTTTCAGTGACCTGTGTACCTGTATACCCAGATCCCTCTGCCCATCAGTACTCTTAAAGGTTCTGCCATTTACTGTATATTTTCCATCTGGATTAGACCTTCCAAAATGCATTACCTCACATTTTTCTGGATTAAACTCCATCTGCCATCTCTCTGCCCAAGTCATCAAACGATTTATATCCTGCTGTATCCTCTGATGGTCCTCATTGGTATCTGCAATTCTACCAACCTTTCTGTCATTCGCAAACTTACTAATCAAACCAGTTACATTTTCCTCCAAATCATTCATTTATGTTACAAATAGCAAAGGTCCTAACACTGATCCCTGAGGAACGTCACTAGTCGCAGACCTCTGTTCAGAAACACGCCCTTCCACTGCTACCCTCTGTCTTCTATGACCGAGCCAGTTTTTTTAATCCATCTTGAAAGCTCACCTTTGACCCCATGCGACTTTACGTTCTGTATCAGTCTGCCATGAGGGGCCTTGTCAAAGGCATTACTGAAGTCCATGTAGACAACATCCACTGCCCTACCCTCATCGATCATCTTCGTCACTTCCTCAAAAAAACTCAACCAAGTTAGTGAGACCCGACCTCCCCTTCACAAAACCATGTTGCCTTTCGTTAATATGCCTACTTATTTCCAACTGGGAGTAAATCCTGTCTCGAAGAATCCTCTCCAGTAATTTTCCTACCACTTATGTAAGGCTCACCAGCCTGTAATTAGCTGGATTATCCTTGCCACCTTTCTTAAACAAAGGAACAACGTTGGTTATTCACCAATCCTCTGGGAACTCCCCTGTAGCCAGTGAGGATACAAAGATTTCTCTCAAGGTCCCGGCAATTTCCTCCCTTGCCTCTCTGTGTTCTGGGGTATATCCATCAGGTCCTGGGGACTTGTCTACCTTAATGTTTTTCAAGACCCCCAATACCACCTCCCTTTTGATCTCAACATGACCCAAACTATCAACATACACTTCCCCAGATTCATCATCCACCAAGTCCTTCTCTATGGTGAATGCTGACACAAAATACTCATTTAATACCATGCCAATTTCCTTGGCTCCCCATATAAATCCCCTTCCCTGTCCTTGAGTGGGCCAACCCTCTCCCTGGCTACCCTCTTGCTCTTTATTTATGTATAAAAAGCCTTGGGATTTTCGTTAATCCTGTTGGCCAATAACTTTTCATGACTCTTTTTAGCCCTCCTGACTCCTTGCTTAAGTTTCTTTCGACTTTCCTTGTATTCCACCCCGCTTTGTATGTTCCTAGCCTTGACAAATGCTTCCTTTTTCTTTTTGACTAGGCTGACAATATCTCTCGTTATCCAAGGTTCCCTAAACTTGTCATACTTATCCTTTATCCTTCCCAGCAACTTACAATCGAAAGCCTCCCACATACTAGATGTTGATTTGCCCTCAAACGTTTTCAGTTCCTGCCTAATATTGTTGTAATTAGCCTTCCCCCAATTTAGCACCTTTACCTGACAACTACACTTATCTTTATCCATCAGTACCTTAAAGCTTGCTGAATTGTGATCACTGTTCCCAAGCTGTCGACCACCTGGTCAGGCTCGTTCCCCAGAACTTCTTAAGTAAACCCTTTGGTTGTGTTTAAACCAAGTCAGCCTGAAACCTGCTTACTGAATATTTCCTTACAGAAGCTTAATAAGCCATATATTATCCTCAATTGTCCCAAATACATTTGCATGATACATATTGGTACTGGCTTCACTTTTATTAAACTTCTCTATGATTTTATCCACTTCCTTGCTCTGCAGAGTGGTCTTTAAGCTGAAGATTAAAGCTTTTTCTCTTTTTGTTTAGAGACCAGTACATCGCTGCAGCATGCAGGGGCCTCACAGGCTGGCCTGAAGGACCAGCAGGTTCTGGATGTGAAGAGCTACGCTTACCTATTTGCACGGAGTGTTGATCACCTCAAAGCCCGTCTGGCTGAGAAGGGAGATGGAGGGGAGCTTGTCTGGGACAAGGTTAGACTGAGCATATCTAATATCATTTTCTTAATTTAAAACAATGTCTTAATTATTTTCAGGAATTAACATTAATTAGAGGGAATGTTGAATCAGAATGCTGTCATTAAGACCTGAGTTAAAAGTCAGTCCAAAGTAAGAATTGCATATATATGGCACATTTCTTGACCTCAGAAAATTGCAAAGCACTTTACAGATTCAAAAAAAAATACATTTGCAATACTGTCATTGTGCAATGCAGGCAGCTAATTTGTATACAGCAAACTACCACCAGTAATACAGTGATTATTGGATATTTGTTTTGTGATGTTTTTAGATGAATAAATATGTGCCAGAACACCAGGGACAGCAATAGGTTTCTACCAAAGGTGTCACAGGATCTTGTACAGCCACCAGAGATGACACATGGGGCCTTGGTTCAACATTTTATCTAAAAGGCAGCACCCTCACTATTTCACACCAGTACCACACTGAGATTGTTAGCCTAGAACTTGGATTCATGGGTTACAAGCTACCTCTGACTGTAAGGTACTAAGTGAAGGCATCCAGAGACATGTGAATATCTTAGTGGCACTGTGAAGCAGAGTAATGAGTCTGTGCAGCATGCAAACAGGAGCAGCATTGCTTGTGATGCAGCCCTGTCAGGCGATTTTGAGCATGGTATGAAAATAAAAACATATCACAAGAATAGGCCACGTGACCCATCAAGCCTTCTCCACCATTCAATAAGATCATGGCTGATTTGAATTTAATCTCAATTCTACATTCTTGTATATTCCCAATAACCTTTCATCCCTTTGGAATCAACAATCTATCTACTGCGGTCTGAGAAATATTTGAAGATTCTGCATTCGATGCCTTTTGAGAGAAATTCCAGAGTCGTTCAACCTTCTGAGAGAAAAAAAACCTTTCCTCATCTCTGTTTCAAATGGGCAACTCCTTATTTTTAACCTATGCCCTGGTTTTAAATCAGGCAGCACTGATTTGAAATGTTCTAGAAGGGGTACATATCAACTGTACTGAACCCAGAACTTGTCACATACTTTGAGAACTATGGCTTTGTATGCTTTGAGTTTTGTCTATACTTACTCTGGTTGCTCCCTACTTGTTTATAGAATTGGCTGAATTCACTGTTTGCTTTTGAAAGCCTGTTGTCCACTTCATTGTCTATGGGCCATCAGATGAGATGTACATCCCAAGGAGGTAAATTGGCAGCTTTCAGCTCAGTTCCCTTGGTGGAGGTCTATATTCTTTTGGGAGGGCAGGCTGATGCAGGACTTCAATCTTTAAACAAGATTTAGGTAAAAATAAAATACACATTAAATAAAAGACATAGATGAAAGATAATATAGTACGTATTTTACTTTGAATATTTGTGCCTCTGAAGGAACATGCATACATGATGTGCAAAGTCATTGTTTCCTTCATTGATCATGTTTGCAGGATGACCCCCCTGCTATGAATTTTGTGACTGCAGCTGCCAACCTACGGATGCACATCTTCAGCATGAATATGAAGAGCAAGTTTGATGTGAAATGTAAGGCTTGCATGTTTAAATTTTACTATAGAGATGACACAGGCAGGATCCATTCAGTCACAGTATTGCTAATATACACTTGAACTCCATAAGTCACTGGCCAGTTTATCTGCAAAAAGGAATCTTGCTGAAGTGTCTCCTGCTTTGCTGAATTGCTCAGGCCCCTTGTCCAACCGTTGTCCTGTTCTTAAGCCCTCTCTCAGGATCCAGAAATCCTGAATGTGAGCATTACATTGAGTAGACCACGAATAATGCTCTCAGGTGCCAGGTTCATTCCTTTCATTCTTTAATCCTTTGAGCTGACTATGTTCAGTAATTCTGCAACCTTCTATCCATTTCCACAAGCTAGAGACTACAATCCCTAAAGGATTGTGAGACACAGAACTGGAGTGAGCCAAGTGCAAGTGGTGTTTGTGAGAGTAACCTTTCCAGCAGATAGTCCTGAGGAATGAACTTGTGTTTATACAAATTGAAAAGCAAAATATTGTAGATGCTGAAAATCTGGAAGAAAAACAGGAAATATTGGAAATACTCAGCTGGTCTGACAGAATCTTTGGAGGGAGAAACAGAGTTTGCGTTTCCAATCAAGGACATTTCTTCAGAGCACATTTATATAGCACCTTTCACATTCTCAGGACATCCAAATTGCTTCACGGAGAGTTTATTATTTTGAATTGTAGTTGCTGTTAGTTTATAAGCAAACATAATGGATCATTTATATTCATGAGAGTTCATCAGTGTTGGTGGTATGTTAGCTGAGAGGTAAGTATTAATTGCACCCAATAAAGATACTAAGCCGGATTGGCAGTGGCTGGCATTGGACCAAATAATGTGCGTGTGCTGACTCTTTGATAGATGATCTAATTAGTCCCCTATTGAAGGTGACTTTAGTAGCCCTGAATTAGTAGAAGTGTCACCCGTGGTTCCCCTTCCTGTCTGTCTGGTCACCCTGCCTATGTGGTCGTTCGTGGGTTTTGGGTGAAAACAGGGTTGGATGCAGTCATTGCTGAAAGCTTTCGATTAAAGGCAAAATACCGCGGATGCTGAAAATCTGAATGCTGGAGAAACTGAGTCATACCAGACGTGTAATGTTGACTCTCTACCTCCTTAGGTTGTTGTACAATTTCATGTTGCGGTATTCCAAACAAAGTAAAAGAGTTGTGATATCCTGGTCGATAGTTCAAGACTTATCCCTCAACTAACAGCAAATCCGATTTTCTGTTCATTATCGTATTGTTCATACAGCACAGAAACAGACCTTTTGGTCCATCTCCTCCATACCAACCAGATAGCCCGAATTAATCTAGTCGCATTTGCCAGCATTCAGCCTATGTCCCTCCAAACCCTTCCTATTCATATACCCATCCAGATGCCTTTTAAATGTTGTAATGTACCAGTCTCCTCCTCCTTTCTCTGGCAGCTCGTTCCATCATGCACCACTCTCTGTGTGAAAAAATTGCTCCTCAGGATCCCTTTTAAATCTTTCCCCTCTCACCTTAAACATATGCTGTTTAGTTTTGGACTCCCCTACCCTGGGAAAAGACCTCGGCTATTCACCCTATCCATGCCCCTCATGATTTTATAAATCTCTCAATCTCCGCTTCTGACGTTCTAGGGAAAATAGGCTCAGCCTATTTAGCCTCTCCCTATCGCTCAAACCATCCAATCCTGGCAACATCCTTGTAAATGTTTTCTGAACCTTTTCAAGTTTCACAACTTCTTTCCTATAGCAGGGAGATCAGAATTGAACGCGGTATTCTAAAAGTGGCCTAACCAATGCCCTGTACAGCCACAACACGACATCCCAATTCCTGTACTCCATGCACTGACTAATAAAGGCAAGTGTGCTAAACACCGCCTTCACCACCCTCTCAACCTGTGACTCCATTTTCAAGGAGCAATGAACCTGCACCCCAATGTCTTTGTTCAGCAACGCTCCCCAGGACCCTACCATTAACTGTGTAAGTCCGGCCCTGGTTTGCCTTATCAAAATGCCACACTTCACATTTATCTAAATTAAATTCCATCTGCCACTCCTCAGCCCATTGGCCCTTCTAATCAAGGTCCTGTCGTACTCTGAGGTAAACGTCTGTGCTGTCCACTACACCACCAATTTTGGTGTTATCTGCAAACTTACTAACCATGCCTTCTATATTCATATCCAAATCATTTTATATAAATGATGAAAAGCAGTGGACCCAGCACCAATCTTTGTGGCACACCGCTGGTCACAGGCTTCCAGTCTGACAAGCAACCCTCCACCACCACCCTCGGTCTCCTACCTTCGAGCCAATTTTGTATCCAATTGGCTAGCTCCCCTGGATTCCATGTGATCTAACCTTGCTAACCAGTGTACCATGGGGAACCTTGTCAAACTCCTTCCTGAAGTCCACATAGACCACGTCTACCACTCTGCCTTCATCAATCATCTTTGTCACTTCGTCATACTCAGTCAAGTTTGTGAGAAACGATTTCCCACGCACAAAGCCATGTTGACAATCCCTAATTAGTCCATGCCTTTCCAAAGACCTGTAAATCCTGTCCCTCAGAATCCCCTCCAACAACTTACCCACCACTGACATCAAGATCACCAGTCTGTAGTTCCTGACTTTCTCCTTGCCACCTTTCTTAAATAAATTTCACTGACTATAAACTATTTTGGGATCTCCTGGACTTGGAAGTTGCTACGGAAATGAAATTTGTTGACTTGCATTCTCACGTGAAAAATGGCTGCTTGGATTGTTTTTTTTCTGGTTGAGAAAGTTGTTAGTACCTTGGGGCAAAGTGAGGGGATAAAACAGTTACCTCAAAAAAAAATCAGTAGTCGTCAGCAGATGGCAGTGTTGGGTATGTTAAGCAAATCTCTGTTGAAATGCTTGCCAGATATTGGCTATAAGGGAGCACTGAAAATGTTGTCTTTATCAGGGTAGGCTTTGTAATGTTTGATCCATGTACCTGCTGCTGCTGGCATTGACTGGAGCTGGGTCAGGGTACTGCAGTTGGCCTTCGTGATTGCAATTAGAGAATAGGTAAAATCAAGCTGGATCCAGTACTCTGTAGGTGGTGTCGGAGAGGACAGGACCAGTTTCTGTTTGGACACAGTTGGCTGAGCTGCTGATGCTCAAAGCCCATGAAGAGGAGTCACTTTTCAGGGTATTGGAGGACAAGTGCTCACCAACTGAAACAGCAGAGATGTCAGCTTCAGGGGAGAAAACAGCTGAGGCCGAGGTTAAGTGGAACCCTCGGCTTTAAACAATAATCCAGTGTGTAACATTGATGCATTGACCAGTCTTCAAGGGGATTTGAGAGGTGCATCAATCTTTGAATCAGTGTTTCCTTTAATTTGTGTACCTTGTCCACAGCCATGGCAGGTAACATCATCCCAGCGATTGCAACCACAAACGCAGTGATTGCCGGCTTGATCGTGTTGGAAGGACTGAAAATTCTCTCCGGGAATCTGAAACAATGCAGGACAGTAAGTCTTTGGAATAGTTCATGAAGAGTGGAGGGGAGGAGGTCAACAGCTCAGGCTGACCAGGGCCACAAACCTGAATGTGAACGTGAGCTCCCTTGAATGATGATGCTTGCCCTTGTGACGTGGTCACTTTGTTTCTCTTTACAAATGTCCTGGAAAAGAGGCTGATTTTGCTGCACAGCCAACTAAACATGGCTTCTTAGTGATGTCTGGAGTAGGTATAGAAGAGCATAACTTGGCCCATAATTATCGGATAGTCATTTTAAAAATGAATCTAGAAGAAATTATTTAACTAGGGAGTGCACTGAATGTTGCTACCACAGGTGAGCAGTAAAGATACATTTGTGGGAAAGCTGAATAAATAATTGAGGGGAAAATTAGAGGTCATTGATAGGAAGAGGTGGATATATAAGCACTGACCTGAGGTTGTTGATCCAAAAGGCTGTTTGTGTGCTATAAATATCTCATAATGGGGCTCTCCCAATATCTTTGGTGGTTGGGCTGGGTGGGTAGAGGAAGATTTGTGGGAGTAGTCTCGGACCCCTGAGTAAGAAAATAAATATTCATAGCTAGAAATTAATTCTGAGTCTTGGGAGGGTAGATTGTGAATTTCCAGTTTAGTTTAACTTGAAAAGACTTGTTTTATCCAAGCACATTTCAACCATTGACCTTTTGTGTGTTTAGATCTTTTTGAATAAGCAGCCCAATCCTCGGAAAAAGTTGCTGGTTCCGTGTATCCTGGACCCTCCAAATCCAACCTGCTATGTATGTTCCATCAAACCTGAAGTCACAATCAAACTCAACACTCAGAAAGTCTCCATCCAAGTGTTGCAAGACCGGGTGAGGCTGGATTTCTACGTTAGTTGAAAGAGTACCTGACAAATATGTCAACCTCTCCGCTTGCAGACACCATTTTGTGACATTTCCAACTTTCTCCTTTCCTCCTTTTTCTCACTCACTCTCATCTCTGCCATTCAGTCTTTCCTTTCCTCTGTTTTCTCCCTCACCTTTTTCCCCGGTTCTATCTTTCTCCCCTTTCTCTCCCTCTGTCTCTTTCACTCCTTTTCCCCATTCTCTCTGTTTGCTAGCCTTTGCCCCATTCTCACTCACGTGTCTTTCCCCCTCTTTTCTCTCAGTGGATGCTGGTTCAATTAATAATCCAACATAATCGGGTTTTATTTGCTCAAAAAGCGAGTTTAATTCATAAAGTAAAAGTGGTTGGATTGAGTTAACGTGAAGATAGCCATGATTTAACTGAATGACAGAACTGGCTCAAGGGGCTGAATAGCCTTCTGGTGTCCTCCCTCAGACACTCTGGGGTTAAAGTCCCTGAGCCATATGGATGATTTTATTATTAGAGGGAACCTTACGCTTATTACCACTTTAAGAGACCTTTGCCTGTTGGGATTTAACTTGTACATTCAATGATCTTCAGGGTTCAAGGTCAGTTGACCTCACACAACTGCAGTGAAGTTGTCTGAGTTATTTGATGTTGAGCTGGAAACTGTGTAATTTTTGCACTCAGTCAGCCATGTGTTTTCACTGCAGATTTTGAAGGATAAATTTGGGATGGTAGCTCCGGATGTGCAGATAGAAGATGGCAAGGGAACAATCCTTATCTCCTCTGAGGAGGGAGAGACAGAAGGTATAGAGCAGTTTTGTCTATTTCATCTTTACATTTTGTAATCTAACTTTGCTCAGGTGTTAATGACACACCTCTGGGGTAGGTGGGACTTGAACCCAGGCCCCACTGCATAACATGACCAGATCTCTTCCTACATTTGCCATTCACCTGAGTGATAAGCTCAGTGATTTAGAGACAGTAAGGACTGCAGATGCTGGAAGCTAGAGTCCATAAATGTGGAGCTGGAAAAGCACAGCAGTTCAGACAGCATCCGAGGAGCAGGGAAGTTGTTGCTCCCTCACCTTTGAGGCAAAACACTCGGGAGTACTTTCGTACTGTAATAGAATCATACAATGCAGAAGAGGCCCTTTGGCCCATCAAGTCTGTAACAATATCCACACCAGTCCAACTTCCCTGTACTGGGCCACAGCCTTCACTGTTGTAACATTTAAGGTGCTTGTCCAAGTACTTTTTAAAGGTAATAAGGTGCATTCCAAACAGGTACCACTCTCTGCATGAAAAAGTCTTTCCTCAAATCCCCTCTAAACCACCTGCCTTTCACTTTAAAAGTGTGCCCCTTGTTCTTGACCCTTCAACTAAGGGAACAGCTGCTTTTTATTCACCCTGTCTCTACCCCTCATAATCTTCTACAACCCTATCATGTCCCCCTCAACCTTCTCTGCTCCAAAGAAGACAACCTGAGCTCACCCAGCCTGCCTTCATTGGTGAAATGTTTTAATTCCAGGCAACATCCTGGTGAATCTCCTCTACATCCCTCCAATACAATTACATCCTTTTGTAGTGTGTGTATTTTATCTTTCACTTGTTTTTTATTATCTCTGTCAGCAAACAACAACAAGAACCTTTCCGAGTTTGGGATCCGCAATGGAAGCCGACTCCAAGTAGATGATTTCTTACAGGACTACACTCTAACTGTAACCCTTTTGCACAGGTGAGGAACAGGCCTTTGCCCTGTCACAACATCTGACGTACTAAAAGCAGTACAACATCAGGTTTATCTCTAACTGCCATGCAACAACACACTGCCTCACTTAAGCCTTTAACTCCCCCACCCCCCAATCGCATGCATATGAAACAGGGGCAGGAGTAGACCCTTGGACCTATTCGATGTGGATAGATAATAGCTGATTTGATGTGGCCTCAATTGTACTTTACTGTCTACCTCCTCTCATGTTTGATTATCTACCTTTGCCTTAAAAGTGTCTACTGATTCTGCTTCCACTGTGCTCTGGGGAAGAGAATTCTTAGACGCTCAACTCTTGGAGGAAAAAAAATGCCCTCATCTCTGCCTTAAATGGGAGAACCCTTATTTTAACCTCCTGTGGTTAGTCTTTCCAGTAATGGGAAATATCCTCACATCGTCCGTCCTGTCAGGACCCCTATGGATTTTATATATTTCTATAAAGTTAACTTGCATTGTTCAAAACTCCCAATGGCTGCAGGACAACCTGTCAAACCATCCTCATAAGACAACCCTGTCATCTCAGGAACCAGTTCAGAGAGAACTAGTTTTATGGCAATAATATCTTTGCTTATATAAGAAGACCAAAACTATCCCTCCCTCTCCTGAAGTGTTTACTCTTTGATTTGTTTGCTTGTGCTTGGGCTGTGGTACCTTGTTCAGCTGGGTTGAGATTGAGAGTGACAGTTGCAGCTGCACTGGTGGAGCACAGTGAAGTGCTGTCTGTCCTCTCCATTGCCTGCAGCAGCCCCTCTGATGAGGGAGACAGAGCCCTAGTGTTTTCAACTCAGGCGTGAAAGAGCTGAGTAGAGATGAAGAATTGAACTTGGCCCCTTTGGGACTGTATGTCCCTCCCAAACAAAAACACAGTTTATCTACAAGGGGCAGTGGTGTGTTAGACCTCCATTTCTGTGTTTGCAATGAATTGTTTGAGCTGTTGAGTTTTTTTACATTGTGATGATCAATTGCAGTGAAGATCTGGAGAAGGACATAGAGTTTGAAGTGGTTGGAGATGCTCCTGAGACAGCTCCTCAAAAGCCAAATGAGGAAGATGGCAAGGCCATAACCAATGGCAGTGATGATGGAGCACAGCCTTCAACGTCGAAAGGTAATGGCTTTTCGTGTCTGCCTCGTTTCCTCTTCCCCAGACCAAAACACGGTATATTAGTACAAATCCTTTCCTTTTGTTTGCATTGCCACGAGCCTGCAGTAGGCTTAGTTTTTCAAATTCATCCATGGAGTGAGAGTTTCACTGGCAAGACCAGTATTTGTTGCCCATTCCTGATTGCCCTTTCCACCTTCTTGAACCACTGCAGTCCATCTATGCCCACAGCGCCGTTAGGGAGGTATTTCTGAGATTTCAATCCAGTGACAGTGACTAGATGTTGATATAGTTCCAAGACAGGATGATGGGTGGAAAGTGGGCAGTATTCCAGTCTCCTCCTGACATGTATATGTAGATGGTGCACAGACTTTGGACTGTCAGGAGATGAGTTACTCACTATAGAATTTCCACTTTCTAAACTGTCTTGTAGCCACTGGATTTTGTACAGCTTCTGGTCAGTTTTTTTTTAAAAGGGATTTTAGTCATGATGTTTTTGAATATACAGGGGAGATGGTTAGATTCATTCTCTTCAGAGATAGTCATTGTCTGACACTTGTGCGGCACAAATTCAGCCCCAAAGTGAATGTGGATTTGTTGTTGGTTGACTTTAGGAAATGCAGCTTCACTGTGACTCTTAGGCTGACGCTACAATCTCAGCAGTACTTAACAAGCTCATATTAGCATAATAAAGACTCTCACAACTCCAGGGCATCCAAAGTGCTTTATGATCAAGGAGATAGTAGGAACTGCAGATGCTGGAGAATCTGAGATAACAAGGTGTAGAGCTGGATGAACACAGCAGGCCAAGCAGCATCAGAGGAGCAGGAAGGCTGACGTTTTGGGCCCAGACCCTTCTTCAGAAATGGGGGAGGGGAAGGGGGTTCTGAAATAAATAGGGAGAGAGGGGGAGGCGGATAGAAGATGGATAGAGGAGAAGATAGGTGGAGAGGAGACAGACAGGTCGAAGAGGCAGAGATGGAGCCAGTAAAGGTGAGTGTAGGTGAGGAGATAGGTCAGTCCAGGGAGGATGGACAGGTCAAGGGGGCAGGATGAGGTTAGCAGGTAAGAGATGGGGGTGGGCTTGAGGTGGGAGGAGGGGATAGGCAGGAGGAAGGACAGGTTAGGGAGGCGGGGACAAGCTGGGCTGGTTTTGGGATGCGGTAGGGGGAGAGGAGACTTTGAAGCTTGTGACATCCATATTGATACCATTGGGCTGCAGGGTTCCCAAGCGGAGTATGAGTTGCTGTTCCTGCAACCTTTGGGTAGCATCGTTGTGGCACTGCAGGAGGCCCAGGATGGACATGTCGTCTGCGGAATGGGAGGGGGAGTTGAAATGGTTCGCGAC